GTGGTTCAGAGAACCAAGTTTGATGTAGCGTCCGACTTAAACCAAACGATTGAAATCAAAGTGATCAATAGAAATATCGCGCTCGTTATTAAAGAAGTTGGTAGCTAGAAATGCCTAATGTTAAAGTGTGATTATATCACATTAGAACATGAAGGAAGGCATAGTCTGTTTTAGAATTTAACACTAAAAGACCCATGTCTAAGTGTTGCAACATACGATGATAGGTCATTAGAATATGACACATCGATCTATAGTAGTAATAAGAGAAATCATCTCAAGTTCGTATACAGTAAGGATCGATATTTTTTACTCGAAGGTCATAATTTGGAGTCTAACCTTAGGTAGAGAGCAGGTGCACGATCGAATACTGCTTGCAGTCAACGAGTCTAGGAGATAGACTTGAAGGAATGTAGAAGTTATAATTATTACCTAGGATGAAGAGATAACGTATGGAGTCATTATACGACCCTGTTTCGTTGATGATTCCGGGACGTAATCATCCTAAGGGGGAGATAATTGTAACGCCCGTAGATCCGGGCTAGTCAAATTAGAGGCAATAGGGGTCGAAAACGACTTTTCGACAAAAGATTATTTAGAATAAATAATCTTAACCAAGTTGTGGAATATGTCTCAGGGTTTCCGTACATATAAAGAATGCTGAAATCCGAGCTATAACGAAGAAGTTATGGCCCGCCGAAGTTTTATGGCAAAACCGGCCCGGCACCGGGAGACGTAAATAGTGAATTTACGATAGAAGACTTTTTAGCCTTAGCAATCTAAACAAAAGTCGTAGAATATGTTAAACTAAGAACATCGATAAAAAGAACGCCCAAATCTTACTTCGTATGAAGAAGTTATGATTTTTCTAAGATTCGGCTTAGCAGTGCACGGCCCTAAACTCGAATTTTAGTTCGAGCGGTTTTTGGCTTACGCGACCTAAATGAGAGTTGAAGGTCTCATTAATAGGAACTCAACGGTAAAAAGACAGACGAAAACAGAGTCCGGATGAAGGAGTTATGAACTCTTCGCGGTCATTTAACAGTCTAAACGCCTCCTACTGTTAAATTTGAGATTGGTCGAGAATTAGGTGACGGAGTCTAAACGAAAGTTGTATATCTTGATTTTACCTACGCGTGGATATAAAGAATGTCGAAAACGAAGCTCGTATGTGAAAGTTATGATTTTTCTAAGTTTGAAGGCTGATACACGATAGGGGGTGACGTGGCACCACCAGAATTGGACACGTGGCACCACCAGAAGGCCACCACATGGACCAAATCGACGAGTCATGACTCAGACTCGATGAGTCCATCAGATTCCTCCCCTATAAATAGAGGTTCCGGGTTCCCTCATTCTTCACACCTTCCTAAACTATTCTTTCTCTCTCTAGACTCTCTCTCTAGCCCCCTAACCCCCCTAAAAGCCTAGGTAAACCCCCTAGCACCCGAAGGAAGCGCCGAGGCTCCTGGAGTTCCGAGAAAAAGGGTCTTTCGGCTCGGAAACGCTGCTCCAGCGAAGTCCGGTTTTCGAGAAAACCCGCTGTAAGTAAGCTATGCCTACGCTATCTTTAGTATAGCTTATGTTTTAATATAGTAACATTATTAGGAACTTATAATGAGTATTTGGGCTATTATTATGAGTTATATTGAGTGTTATTTAACGCTTGTATAATAATAATAATAATAGTCAGACTATTAGTTTGTCGCGGTTATCGTTAGATTAAACCCTAGTGGTATTGATACTAGGTTTTATCGAAGGAAATTGTTTTGAGAGTATCGAAGCGCTGTCCGAGTGCTGAGTCACCACCTACTCAGGTGAGTGCATAGTCCCTTTCATCTTACACATAGATATGAAGTATCTGAATACTTGCTATCTATGTTGGATGAACGTTTTATACATGTTTTAAAGGATTTAAACTGTATACGTATTTTATATATACGAATATGTGGGGTATGATGATGGGTAGATAAATGATGAGAGATAGAGGATGACGTGAGTATACATTGGCAGCTATAGACTTAGTGCCTATGGGACAAACACCGGTAGCTATGGACTTAGTACCTGTCAGACGTTGGTAGCTATGGATTTAGTACCTGTTAGGAGTTGGTAGCTATGGACTTAGTACCTATTAGTTAGACACTGGTAGCTATGGATTTAGTACCTGTAGGAATTGGTAGCTATGGACTTAGTACCTGTTGAGCAATGGTAGCTATGGATTTAGTACCCGATGAATAGACTATAGCAGCTATGGAATTAGTGCTTTATGAACGAACATTGGCAGCTATGGATTTAGTGCCAGTCCTAGAACTCTGGAAGTAAGGGACTTCGGAATAAACGAATGAAGGATAGATGGCCCTTAGGTTAAATCCTTAAAGAGTAAAGAAGATAATGGGGGTGGGTAATTGGGTTGATTGTTTGATTAAACATAATAATTATATTATTGTGGGTTGAAAACCCTATGTACTCACCAGGTTTCCCAACCTGACCCACTCAGTTTATGTATATCACAGGTGACGAAATGAAGTGACATTACACTGAGAGATTTAAAGAGATGTAGATCACTAGTGTAAATAATTGTAAGTTCTGTTTATGCTTATGTTCTGTATTAACGATGACATCCCAAACGTTTTAAGATGAATAAAAATACGTTTCTTCGAAAATGTTTTAATAACGTATTTATCGTGTTTTTCTGGGAACAAATTCCGCAACCTTTTTATAAAATGAAGTACTCTGATTTTCATAAAGCATAAACAAAATCGGTCTTTTCTGGACGTGAAAATGGGGATGTCACATATTTAATTAATTAATAACCTAACTTAACGAGTTGGAAAACCTAATTAGGGTTTAGAAAACCCTAGTTTTGGAGTTGGTCGGGACCCGCGTTAAAACTATCAATTAAACTTAAAATAATGCGTAATAATTCTCAACAATTAACTTAATGCAATATTGGAATTAATGGATTAAGTCCTTAAGGGGTTAAGTGTGGAACACTAACCCCAGTTATCATTTTATATGAAAAACCCTAGAACCGAGGAGCTCTAGTTAGACAATGACCGGACACGTATTTGGGTTGTTGATTGGATTATTTTTTCTCCCGAGAACGAATAAGTCAAACATTAATTAGTCCTACCCTTAGGTAATTAAGTCCTTCATGAGTTAAGTGTTCTTACTTAACCCTAATTGTCATTTTATGTAAAACCCTAATCGCCATTTCATGCGAGGTGGTCATTGTTGCAAGTGACTATGACTTGTGGTCGGGTATTGACTCATATATCTTCCTGTAGGTGATTGGAAGTGAGTTGAGGCTGGTAGAGTCCTTCATTGCTACAGTGGTTATCTACATGCGTATCGACGTGAGTTTTGCCTTACTATACCCGTGGGTTGAAGGCACCAATGCCGACCCACTAGTTTTAGTTACCTGCTAGTAAAGGGATGCCCTAAGGACTGTATATAGTCATGTAGGATAGACTGAGGACTTTTGATCTATGCTCTCTTACCTATTCCATGTTTGATTGTGGTTCTAGAATAGGATCACCTGTCCGAGTGACCATCTCGCCTCTGAGTATATTCGGCCATGCATTCCTTGGATTGTTGATATTTAGTATGTTGTTATGCTATAGTGATCTGGTAGATCTATCTTTTGGTATCGAGTGTGCTGCTTTGCTGTAATAACCTGTAGAAGTGTATGTTATCTATCCTTGCTGGTTATCACCTATTGAGTGCCCTTAGGGACTGTCTGTGGTCATGTAGGATAGCATGAAACTCTCGATCTACGCTCTCTTTCCTGTTCCCCGTTTGGTTGTGGCTCTAGAGTAGGGTCATCTGTTTGGGTGGTTATCTCATCTTTGGTTACTTAGGGTTACACATCTATCGATGTTAGTTGGTGGCAGGACTATATGTTGTTAGAGGACTAGTTGGCGGTAGTGAGTTACCTTCATTGTATCTGTGGGACGCAGGCACCAATGTCGACCACTAGTTGAGGTTCATAGTAAGATGATTGTCTTTGTGATAATTGTCTGGTATGCCACTATTTGTTGATCTTCTGTGATTATTTGTTTATGATATTATGTGGTAGTGGTAGGGATGAAATAGACCCGATATCCGGTTGAAATAGACCAAAGGGGTAGGTTGGGCACCTAGATATGTCTGGCAGGGGGTAGGTCAGGCACCCACATATGCCTGGCAGGGGTAGGTCAGGCACACACATAAGCCTGGCAGGGGTAGGTCAGGCACCCACATATGCCTGGCAGGGGTAGGTCAGGCACCCACATATGCCTGGAAGGGGTAGGTCAGACACCTACATATGCGTGGCAGTAGCCGGTTTTAATAAACTGAAGGGTAGGCCATGCACCCAGATATGCATGACACTATGTTTGTTCTGTATGTGGTATTTTAAGGGAAACTCACCAAGCTTTATGCTTACCCAATTGTTTATTGTTTCAGGTATCATCAGTGATTGCGGGAAGGCAAAGGTGGGACTGTACACACTCATCAACAACTTGAAGATTCCGCATTTCCTATAATAATACTCTTACATTAATAAATGTAATTTTCAATAAATGGGTTTCTTAAATAATGGATTAATAAATTGGGAATATTACCTTAATGAAAATGAAAAAATTTTATTGTGAAAATGGGACGTTACAAAAACCTTAATGTGTCGTTTGGGTCGTTCGAATCCACTGAAATTAGAAGGAATTGGAATCTAATTCCACCACTTTCCTTTGTTTGCTTCAACATTTCAAAAGGAATTGGATTCCTAAATGAGTCAAATTTTCCTTCAAATGAGGGAAAATAAATTTTATCCAAAAACTTAAGGAATTAAAATTTCTTC